AGGGAGAATCACTGTATTCCTGTTTTGCTTCCTCCGCTGCTGGCTGCAAGACTCTCTCTTCCTTTTTCACTTCTCTCCATGTTTGTTTCAAGACTTCTAAGGAAAGATAAGCACACAACAGCTATGAGTGTTTCTTTTAGTCTGCTTTTCTGCATCTGATTCACTCCAGAGAGGCTTACAAAGGTAAGCATTTAGTCCCTCTGAAACTACCTTTGCCATGTTCCACTGCAGCAGAGGGCGCATCCAACCTGTTGCTGTTTGCAGCAGGCAGCTGGACAGCAGCCGACGCTTTCCCTTCATCTTCAGACTCAGTCTGCGTAATTTAAAAGGCACACATGAGAACTGGCACAGGCTGCTTCTCCACCCTCTTCCAAACTCAAAGGCTGTGCTCCAGCCAAGAGGCCTAACAAGACGGGTCAGGTGATGGAAAGAACAAAAAGGGCAAACACAGCAAGCATATTCAGCATCTCTACTGAGCATTGTTTGTAAAATGGGACCAAGCACACCACCCCATGCCACAGAGAATGTAGGCAAAAAGAAATTAATTTGTAGACTGTAGGTCATATGGGAACTCAGTTGATGTTAACTGCATGTACAGAAGAGAGATGTTTGATGGAAAAATGAATCCTCACAATGCTAGCCTTGCACAGATTCCACAGGATTGTAACAAACACGGAGTTTTACTACATTATCCTTACTGGAAATCTACATTGGACATCAGCCACAAGAATGCCCAGGACATTAGCTGGACCTCACTTCGTCCTAGTCCTATCTGAACAGTGTGTCTGCAGCAGAGAATGCCATCAAAGTCTAAGGTATGAGTGTGTGGCAGAAGCAGCATCAAAGGAAAATGAGCCCCAAAGCCAGTTATTTAGAGGAATCTCACTGTCTCCCTCAGAAAAGGTACCTCAGAGTCCCAAGAATTATCATTTTTTCTTGATCTTCCTGCTGCTTGCAAGACCCCTAAGAACAGATAAGAGACTTGTCACATCTCTGAGTAGTTGTGTCACTCTCCTTTTCCAAATCTGGTTCTCTTCACTGAGGTTTACAAAGGTAACCATGTAGTCCTTTTGAAATTACCTTTGCTGCTCTCCGCTGGAGCAGAGCGCACGCCCCCTCCTCTGTGGTCTGCAGCAGGACGCCGCCCACCAGCAAACACTTTTTCTACAATTGCAGAAAAAGGCTGTGTGATTTAAAAAACACACATAAGAAGTGGCACAGGTGGCTTCTGCCCCCATTTCCATGCTCAAAGCTTCTGATTCAGCCAACACACCTAAGGAGAAGGATAAGGTGATGAAAAGAACAAAAAGGGCAAACAAAGCCAGTGTTGAGCCATCATTGTTGTTCAGCAGGATTTTTAAAACAGGACAAAGTCCTCCTGCCCAAGTTTGAGACAACCTAGGCAGAAGAAATAGATCTCTAAATTGTGGGTCATCCACAACCATTTGACATTGACTGGATCCACAGAAGAGATCTGTGAGGTGGGAAAAAAAGATTCTTACAATACCAGCCTTCTAGGACTTGAGAGGACTGTAACCAGAAGGAAGTTTTACTTATTTGCCCTAGAAATCCTACATGGACATCAGCTGTAAGGAGGCCCAGGACATTAGCTGGACCTCACCTTGTCCCAGTCCTAACTGAAAAGATTCTCTGAAGCAGCAACTGGTTAAGGTGCAAGTAAGGAGGCTGTGGAAGAAGCAGCATCAAAGCAAAATGAGTTCAGATGCAGGTGAGCCAGAGGGACCCCACTGCCTCCCTCAGAGAAAGTACCTTTGAACCCCAGGAGGAATCACTGTCTTCCTTTTCACCTTCTACTGATTCTGCACCTGGCAAGATACCTAAGAAAGGTAAGAGGCATGTCATTTCTGTGAGTGCTTATTTCACCCTGCTTTTCTCCACCTGCCTCACTCCAGAGAGGCTTTCAAAGGTAACCATTTAGTCCCTCTGAAATTACCTTTGCCACGCTCCACTGCGTCTGAGCGCAGACACTGCCTGGTGCTGGTTGCAGCAGGAAGCCACTCACTGGCCCGCACTTTCCTTTGACCTTTAGGATCAGTCTGTGCAATTTAAAAGACACACATGAGAACTGGCACAGGCTGCTTCCACACCCACTTTCCTACTCAAAATATCTTCTTCTGCCAACAGGCCTAAGGAGAGGATCAGGTGATGAAAGAACAAAAGGAGCCAACACAGCCAGCATGTTCAGCATCCTATTGATCTGAGTTTTCAAAATATGGTCAAGGACACCCCTCTGACCTAGAGAGAACCTAGGCAAAAGTATGTATTGTCTAAAGTGTAGGTCATATGAAAACTGTTTGACATTGTCCACACCTAGAGAAGTGAGAGAAACCAATCTGTTTTTTATTAATGCCTGAGCATATGTTATACACAAGGTGAAAAACAGCTTTAGGGGTTGTACACCTGCTGGGAATCCTGTCCCTGGTGAGCCTTCACCTGGCAGCCAATCAGGAAAGAGAAAACTTCCATGTCTGGGCTACAAGTAATTCCCGCCATTAGCCGGTGGGGCAGACCCCTGCATGCCCAGGAAAAAAATGCCTGGGAAATTGGGCCATGAGATGAGCACATGAAAGCAGTGAACCACACCACAACATTTTCTTTGGGTTTCTTGGAGGCAGCAGGGGCTCGCCCAGAGGGTCAGCTCGCTTGCTGCACCCGACTCTTGTTTTTCCCTTCCTGCAGTCCTGTTTCCCTGTCTGCACCTGCCCCGTTTCACAGTTCCCCCAATGCAGCTCAATGCCATGGAAACCCAATGCTCTACTGTGTGCCCCAACAGAGCGGCCACCGCTGGACACGGCTGCCACACTCCAGCCCAGAGAACCTGCAGCAGCTCCACGAGTGTGTCCATACCACGGCAGCCTGTTCATCCATGGAAGGGACACACAGCCGGCTGTGGTTTGAGAATCACACCAGGCCACCACAGGAGCCACACAGACTCCTCGCAGCTTGCAGCACTCACACTCCATCTGCCAAGCTGGTGCCAACAGGCTGCCCGGGGTACAGGGTAATGATCTGTCCCTGTCTTCTCTTTCTCTATCCATATCTCTTTTCCCCTCTTTGCTCTCTTTCCTATCCCCCTTCAGTAGAAGCACTTAGTTTTCTTTATAAATAAACAGTTTTCAGACATAATATTGCTACACTTGTGTTTTATTTTCATCCGAGAAATCTATCAAAAAGAATCCTCCCCAGTTCCTCTTTTACAGCAGGATGGGACAAGGGGTAATCTGAGTGATGGAAAAACAGCAATCCTCATAATGCCAGCCTTTCACTGGTTTCCAAGGAGCTTTACTGCTCTGTGCTATTCTAGAAATCTAGCTTGGAGGTCAGTCACAGGAGGCTCATGACATTGGCTGGACCTCACTTTGTCCCAGTCCCATCTGAACAGCTTGTCTGAAGCAACAGCACGTCAAGGTCCAAGTTAGAAACGTGTGACAGAAGCAGCAGCAAAGGAAAATGAGCCCAGAAGCCAGTGAGTCAGAGGGATCCCCGTGTCTCCCTCAGCAAAGGTACCTCAGGATCCCTGGGAGAATCAGTATCTTCCTTTTTCACTGCTGCTCCTGCTGGTTGCAAGACCCCTAAGAACACATAAGAAGCTCATCATAGATCTGAGTGCTTGTTTCACTCTCTTTTTCCAAATTCTTTTCATCCCAGAGAAACATACAAACATAACAATTTAGTGCCTCTGAAATTACCTTTGCCATGCTTCTCAAGAAGAGAGTGCATGCCAACTCTACTGTGTTTTCCAGCAGGACGCTGCACGGGGTTAATTGCTTTGTCTCTAAAATTAGTGAGATGCTGTGTAATTTAAAAGACACATGTGAGAACAGGCACAGGCTCCTTGTGCACACACTTCCCCACACAAAGTTTCCGCTTCAGCCAACATGACTAATAAGAGAGGGATCAGGTCAAGGAAAGAACAAAAAGGGCAAACACAGCCAGTGCATTTGGCATCTCTCTTGAGCAGATTTTTCAAACCAAGATAAAGTCCCCCTTCCCGAGCTTGAGAGAACCTAGGCACAAGAAATAAATCCCTAAATTGTGGGTCATACACAACCATTTAAAATTGGCTGGACCCACAGAAGAGAAATATGAGATGGAAAAAAAGCCATTCTCACAATGCCAGTCTTCTAGGACTTCAGAGGACTGTAAGCAGAAGGAGGAGTTACTTCTTTGTCCTAGAAATCCAGCTTGGCAATCAGCCACAAAGAGGGCCCAGACTTTAGCTGGACCTCACCTTGTCCCAGTCCTAACTGAAAAGATTCTCTGAAGCAGCAACTGGTTAAGGTCCAAGTAAGGAGGCTGTGGCAGAAGCAGCATCAAAGCAAAATGAGTTCAGATGCAGGTGAGCCAGAGGGACCCCACTGCCTCCCTCAGAGAAAGTACCTTTGAACCCCAGGAGGAATCACTGTCTTCCTTTTCACCTTCTACTGATTCTGCACCTGAAAGAAGCACGTTGTTGCCTTGAGTGTTTATTTTCCAGTCCTTTGGCCTGTCCCTCCAGACCACTTCCCATTGATTGGGTATCATTCTGCTACAAGCCACAGTGATTTTCCTCATCAGCTCTTTGAAAGCAAAGTATCTTACATGATTCTGCCGATGCAGCTGTTTCCAAGGGAATGACAGGAGTTGTCTCATAGCAGGAGCTCCCAATTTTTTCATCAGCAATACTAAATATAGAAAGGAAAAAGATGCATAAGGTAAAATCCCCCCAGATTTCCATGCACTCTGCAGGAAGAGCAAAAGCCATGCATGCTCCATTCTATTCATATTCATAGACAGCTGCTAAAGGGTCACACACACACACACAGAACTTACTGCAGTCCCACAGAAATGGAGACTGAAATCCTCATTACAGGCATGCTGACAGTACAGGTGCCTAGTCTTATCTGTGGAGTAACTCACCCCTGCTATATTCTGGCTCATCTGATAAATCCCCTCTCCATTTCAAGGGCCAATGCATTTAACCAGACTCCTGGCAGATTGCCATCACCAAAGCCTCTACTTCAGCTAGATGTTATGCTAATGGTGCAGCTACTCTCCACATCAAGATGGTTTAAAGTCTCTTCAGTCCTGGTCCTCAGGGCTTCAGAAATTCTCATGGTCAGCCTGAGGACCTCAGAGTTTAGAGAGCTCTCAAGTGGGTTATCAAGAGACCAACAAATATTGTGCTTGCATTCCAAGACCTGTGCTGTCTTCTAACAACCCTGAGCTAACTGGGGCTTGGGTTTGTTTAATAAGAAAAACAACAAAAAACCCCAAAACAAACGAAAAAACCCACCAAAACAATCAAACAAGAAAAGAAATTAAACATGTTCTCCAGATCAAGGCTGCCATGCAGAATGGTGCATTATCACAACATTTATACTGTGCCAGAAGCCCGGAGGGAAGGAATGAGCACCACATTGAAGATTGTAAGAGCAATCTTCAAGCATGCTTTATTCTTAAAGGGGTTTTTACACCACAGTTTACACAAGCTCCCTTCTCTCCTGCTTCCAATCAATACAGGTTGCCAGAAGGGGCAGAGGTAGAAGAAATAAAGTCAAGATCCAGTGGCATGAGTTCATGGGCAATTGTTTATAGCTAGAAAAGGCATGCTTATAAGAATAATGCACTACATTCACCCACCCTTGGCTACCATCACTGTGAAAGAGGGCTCTTTTTTCCTCAGTCTAGTAAAGAATACAGGGGATATCAGTTAGATCCCCTCTGAAACAAAAGGCAAGTAGTTGCTGCCAATGCAGTGTGACTTGGAAGCACACAGGTGAATTCTCAGAGACAACTGGGGTGAAGGGGCAAAGTTTTCCTCAACTTCTAAATCTCCTCTTGACATGGAAAGAGATACATCAGAAGACACCACTGAGCTTAGCTTCTACAAAACTCTCAGCACCTGATTAAACTCTGCTGCTGTTAACAAAAAGGGAGACACATCATCACAGATATTAGGAGAATGCACTTGTTCTAACAATAATGTAAAAGACTTACACATTATCTTGAACCATTTTGGTGAAAGGTTGGCATAGGTTGAGTTCCTTGTCTGACTCAGGAAGAACAGCACCATGTTGAAGAAGTAGTTGTATTATTTTCTCATTTCCAGAAAAAGTAGCAACTGTAAGAGGGGTCCTAGGGCATCCAAGAGATTAGAGTAAATACATCCGCTTTTGAAAACATTGCCTAGCCAATACTTTAATTCCTCCTTGCTCCTTAAACAATTCATTTCCCCTCTCCTACAGGCAGAGTGAAGGCACAGCCAATTGCCTACAAATGTTGGAGAATTCAGGCATGTGGGACCTCAGGAGGACTCCTGGACAATCATCGGCCCAGAGCAGACTCAGGGCCTGTGTGCCTGCATGTGCACGCACATGTGGACATCTTGCATGGCAAGCAGTGCTTTCTTGCAGTGTGGAAATCACCCCCTGAGGAAAGTGACAGCTGAGCCGGGGTCTGCTTTCACAAGTCACAAGTGAGACCGTTCTGGGCGACTCCTGGCCCTTTTTCAAAGCTCATTCTTATGCCTCCCATCAATCCAACTCGAACAGTACTAAGGAGCCCCACATGCACTTTTGGCAAACCCGTTACCTAAAAACTTCATCCTGAGCATTCACGTCAGCTCCTTTTTGAAGAAGGAACTTGACCATTTCTTCGCGGTTTTCAGTGATTGCAAGAGTAAGCGGAGTGTATCCCCACTGAAAGGAGAAATCATCTCTCTTAGAATAACAGAGAGAAGTCGAGCAAGCTGACATGGGAAGAGCAGCTTTACCCAAAGTTCAAGCTTACTTTATTCTTAGCATCAATATCTGCACCATACTCCAGTAACAGCTCCACTAGAGGTTTGCTAGAAACCCTGACAGCAAAGTGAAGGGCGGTGTTACCATTTACACCTCTGTGGTCGTGGTTGGCACCATGTTCCAGCAGAATAGCTGCACAGTCCCTGTGCTGATGCTCTACTGCCTGGAAACAAGACACAAAGGAGGAATAACTTCCAACATCTGTGTTTCTCACTGTCAGAACTCCAACACCTTCCCAACACTGGAAAGTATGAATACCATCAAAGATTAGAGAACATATGGCCCTTCTGCATACCTTCATTAGTGGTGATTTATTCAATTTGTCACAAGGGTTTAGCTTGCACTTATTTTCTACCAGAAACTGAACAACATCTGCATGGCCATTTATGCAAGCAAGATGCAGAGGAGTCCTAGAAATTAAACATATGCAGTTGTCCTGGTTTAAGTCCAGATGGCAAATAAGCACCATGCAGCCACTCACTCACACCCTCTCCCTCCCTGCTCCAGTGGAAGAGGGAGGAGAATCAAAATTAAAACTTTAAATAACAATTAAATTACAACAGATTGATAAATAAAAAAGGAAATAAAATAAATATAATAATAATAAAAACAAATAAAAAATCCCAAGAAAAACCTGTGATGTACAATACATTGGCCCACAACCCACTGACTGATGCCAAATCCCATTTCAGAATGTTGACCTGACTAAGCTCCCTCCAGCTTTTTGTGTACTTTCTCACTGGCAGAGCATGAGACACGGAAAATGTCCTTGACTTAGGGTAAACACAGCTTAGCAATGGAGGCTGTGTAAATCTACAGACAGTGCAGAACAAGTGTGTGAGCCCCTGAGAACCTCCCCTCCCCCACATTAGCCCTGCATCAGTTTTGTCCCAAAGAGTGATGGGATGAGACTTCTGACAGCACTAGGAACGCTGTGCAGGCTTTCTGCAAATCCATGCCCTGCTAAACCAAGCTGCTCAGTCTGGCACCTGGAAAGGAGCTGTCTCTGCTTGAATGAAGGGCTGATAAGCTGCACAGAATCATCAAATCTTAGTATGGTTTGGGTTGGAAGGGACCTTAAAGACCATCTAATTCAACCCCTGCCGTGGGCAGGGACACCTTCCACTGGACCAAGTTGTTCCAAGCCCCATCCAGCCTGACCACTTGGATAAACAGGGATGGGACAAAAAGAAGATCAAGTACAGGGCCCAGGCTCCAGAGCAGGGCAGGGCAAGCCAGAGCAGAGTGGAGCTTTCACTGTCTCCTTCTACAGCTCAGGCAGGGCTCCCGTAAGGCTGGTGCTCTGGGGTTGGCCCTGCTGCCAGACATAATTCTGGGCTTTGCTGGCCTTCCAGACAGGTGGTTGTGTTCTCTGCAAAACTGGGTTTGTCACCTGCTGTGCAGCAAGCCAATAATTACACACTTGTGAGAGGCACAGATTGTGTGTTTCAGAGTTACATGTGCTTGGGTGCTCAATGGTATTTCATAGATAAAGCACACCCCACCAGACTTTCCATACTATTATTTATACATAGAAGTTCAGAATTAACAGCTTCCCAAGTACAGTCCCTCTACTATGACTGGTTAATAGTTTCCATACAAGTTATGCAACCACAGCTAACTTCTATGCATGCTTAGGGGAGGGGTCTTCACCTGGGCAGGGGTCTTTTTAACCTGCAGGTGTGATTTTCAGTATTATAATGAAGAAAATACAGCTATACTATACATGGACCTTGAGTCTTCTGCCAAACTGGCAATGTATATACATAGAAATACATCAACATCTTGATTTATAGCAACCTTTATAGATGTCCTTCACTAAGGGATGCTTCTGCTGTCTGTTCTACTGAAACAACAATATCTTGATTTACTACATCCTTAACACTTGTAAGTTCCAGGATGTCCTTGGCTGAGGGATGCTGGCTGCTGCTGTTCCACTGATTGTCTCCTTTCTTGCTGCTTAGGCTTGAAAGCATACATAAAACCTCCACCCAGACTCAGATAATTTGGACAAATCCCTTATTTTGAACAGGCGGGGGGCCTGCTGTTTGTCCTTACTGCTTGTCCTTGTTGTAGCCATTGATGCGGAGCTTGTTCAGCCACCAGTGCCGCCGCAGCCGGGCCAGGTCGGCGCTGGCG